ATGATGTCAAACAGCCCAGCATCTGTTATCTCGGTCTTTCTCTCTCTCTTCACCTCCAACTTTCCTACTGTTACGGTGTGATCCAGTTTTCTCCTTTTCTTCACATGCCTAAATAATTTAGATTGTCTCCCCCTGACATAGGCAACCAGTTCTCTTCGTGAATCAGTTTCTTTCAAGATATCTTCATTACTCGTTTTATCTGTCTAGGGTTTTCTCATCATTCATCTATTGAACCAAATCAAAGCAGGTTCCAAAATAATATTTTACTAATCTACTAACTGTCCATGATTCACTTCGATAGATCATGTAGGATTTATAAAGCTTTTAAGAATTATCCTTCTCATCTCAATGGACAGAGAAAGATTGCATAAAATATTCTTAATTTGGTAAAATGCTGCTTTGCTTGAGTTATTCTACATTTCACTTCTCTAGTACATCTTCCATGTGCTGTTATCAGGGTACCCAAGTACTTAATCATGTCAACTTGTTAAGGTTTGTCTCATTTTGTGCAGTTGTGTTTCATTGTGATCTGTGGAGACGCCAGTTGGCAGGGCACATGACGATGATGTGTTTTATTTTCAGCGGTGAAAACTACATCGTCAGCAAATGGCAGGTTGTTAATAATATGCCCACCAGCCAATATTACTGTTATACTATATATAAATCTCAATGTTATTCCATTGTACACCATGAATAAATTGGGTGAACTCAGGGGGCTTAATCTGTGTTTATCTGCACAAGAATAATAATAAATAATAATTATTATTATTAATAAATAATATTATATTATGCGGTGAATTGCAAACACACACACATACACACACACACACTCACACACACACACTCACACACATATATGAAATAATACCTGAGCAACCACTGCTAATAACAGTTACAAGACAAAGTAGGTAGCGGTATACTCCACTTATTCTGAGAAGAGACAAACAGAAAATCGTCAAAACATGTAATAAAATTTGAAAAAGATGGACTTAGGAAAGGAATAGGTCCAAGAGAAACCTTAGAGCGAACGTTGGTAAGAAAAGCCAAAGGGGCTCGACTGGACTCCGTCTAAGATATCTAAGAGACTGCACAGAATTAAACAAAATGGATGGGTATACTGCGCGCCCTATGTGACAAAAAAAAAAAAAAAACGAGACAATAAATGCAAATGAATATTCACTTGACATATATTTTCTTGGCATTCACAAGCAGTGAACTCCGGCCGAAGGTTCTGGTTATTCGTCTACCTCGACTTTGGTCTTGTTCTAGAACTTGTGTTTTAGCTGCACACTCCTTTTGCAGATCTGACTTACATGCATGCAGACTGTTGGTTCTTCACCTCGCGGGTAGATGCACTTTGATCTCGAAGAAAACACCCATAATTATTAGCTTTTTACGACATGCTTGTTACGGACAGTAAGCCTAATCTTGCCACCCCCCCCCCCCCCCATAACCCCAAAATAGGACTACCTGATTATAAATGTATAGGAAACCTCTGCTGGCATAAGCCTTATTTAAGTATGTAATAACAATATGTGCTGAGGACAGGAAAATATATATGAAACGCATAAACAAATTAAAAATAAAAACATAACTTAGCACCCTTGCAAATTGTCGGGGGGGGGGGGGGTGGGGGGGGGCGGCCTTGGAGTCCACCCATAGAATTAGTGGTGGTCAAACAAATGGGGGAGCTGACAGTCTATATCGGGGTCCCGCCCTCCCCCCCCCCCATCAGTCTATATGGTGCCCCCGCCCCCATCAATCTATATGGGCGCCCCCCCCCCTCAGTCTATATCGCCCCGCCCCTTAGTCTATATGGGGCCCCCGCCCCTATCAGTCTATAAGGGGACCCCGCTCCAATCAGTCTATATGGGGACCCCGCCCCCATCAGTCTATATGGAGACCCTGCCCCCCCCCCCCCCCCCCCCCACCCCCCCCCCCAACCCCCACCAGTCTATATTGGAACCCCGCCCCCCATGCTTCAGTGAGTAAAGTCGACCCGCTGTAAGGCAGATTGTGAGATCGTGTATTCGAGGCAACGTCCTGTCACCTGAAATAATGAAGACTCAAATAACATTATTATCCTGTCTGTCACAGTTCGTTGTAACTCATTTCAGTGTTTGGTGCATAATACTAAGTTTTTATCCACCCTTAAATGAACAGGCACACACACGCGCGCGCGCACACACATACACCACACATACACACACAACTAATATTTTCAACTGAAGTACACAAATGACATACTGTCACAGAGAAAGAGAGACAGACAGACAGACAGACAGACAGACAGACAGACAGACAGACAGACAGACAGACAGACAGACAGACAGACAGACAGACAGACAGACAGACAGACAGACAGACAGACAGACAGACATAGATAGATAGATAGATAGATAGATAGATAGATAGATAGATAGATAGATAGATAGATAGATAGATAGATAGATAGATAGATAGATAGATAGATAGATAGATAGATAGATAGATAGATAGATAGATAGATAGATAGATAGATAGATAGATATATAGATAGATAGATAGATAGATAGATAGATAGATAGATAGATAGATAGATAGATAGATAGATAGATGGATGGATGGATGGATGGATGGATGGATGGATGGATGGATGGATGGATGGATGGATGGATGGATGGATGGATGGATGGATGGATGGATGGATGGATGGATGGATGGATGGATGGATGGATGATGATAGATGGATAGATGGATAGATGGATAGATAGATAGATAGATAGATAGATAGATAGATAGATAGATAGATAGATAGATAGATAGATAGATAGATAGATAGATAGATAGATAGATAGATAGATAGATAGATAGATAGATAGATAGATAGATAGATAGATAGATAGATAGATAGATAGATAGATAGATAGATAGATAGATAGATAGATAGATAGATAGATAGATAGATAGATAGATAGATAGATAGATAGATAGATAGATTAGCAGTCAACGAATGCTGCGGTAAACATACGGTGATTAAATGGACCGTATGGTTTTCGATAAACCTACAGTGATTAAACAGACTGTGTGATTTATGCATTTCACTTGAAATGATTAATATTTATGCTTCATTAGACGAAGATTTGATTTCTCTATTGGGCACCTGAGGAGAGACAGCGAAGTCAACCAGGCAATAAATTGTGTAACATATTGTATGTATCATTTTTATTGCTCCGTAAATATATTCATATGACGAGTCACACATACATACGCTTCCTAGCGGGACATACAATGTACCCACATACTGCGATATGTGATTGGCAACCTTTCTGATGGTGTTTGGATGTAGACTGCATGTCGGTTGATATTGCAGTTGTTTATCTGTATTTGCAATCTTACAATTGCAGGTTGTAATATTGTAAAGAATTATTCCCCCCCCCCCCCCTTTCCCCACGCCTGTGAAATATGATGTTTAATTCATATTTTCATAGGCAGATCGGCACTTAGTGTTCCTGTGTGGGTTCTGTGGCCCCGTGTGTGTGTTTGTGTGTGTGTGTGGGGGGGGGGGGTATTAGACCCACTGCTCCAGCAAGCATGTCGTACAAGATGACTAATCAAGGGTAGTCACTTTGAAGTAGGAGTCCCTCTACCTGAGAGGCAAGGAACCAACAGCCTGCATACATTAAGTCAGATTTGTAAGTCAGAAGTTCTGGAACCAGACTAATGTACAGAAGTGGACGAACAACCAGAGAGATAAACAACACAATGAAACCGAGAGGTCTAATTTTATGTAAACTCGGCCCTTTTGTACGGTGCATAAAATTGGACAATAAAGGGAACGGACTCTTTGGAAATATGGATATACAGAAAAATTGGTGTATCTGATGGGGAAAAAAGACAATCAAATACAAAGAATCTTGATAGACTGCGAATGAAAAGAGAAGAGGCCACGTTCTGTACTCAACAACAAAAAAACAAAAAACAAATACTGCCTCTATTAAATTGTGCCATAGCGGTTCCTAGCCTTTTACGACATGTTCGTTAGGGGGCAAAATAGGTTTATTGGCTCCCCTTTTCCCCAAAATGGGGCGCTATGTAATGAACTTTGTACTGAATAGGTTAAGAATTAACAATACACCGTTGTTCTGACCTGCTCACACAGTCAACGTAATGCACACTGACCTTTTTTTTTTTTTACAGACAACTTTGTTTACACTTACAGCTGGTAATCGCGAAGAAGAAGAATTACAATTTATTTCCCACTAAACTTTATGCACAATCATTATTTATTTCCCAGTCCACTTTATGTACATTCGTGATTTACTTCCCAGTCACCTCTATGTATATTAATTATTTATTTGCCAGCCAACTTTAGGTATAATGACGATTTTTGCTAGTCATCTTCATGTACATTCACGTTTTATTTCCATGTCATCTTTATTTTCATTCCCGATTTATTTCCCAGTCGACTTTATCTACTTTCACGATTTATTTCCTAGTCAACTTTACGTACAATGAAGATTTATTTTCCAGTCAACTTTACGTACATTCGTTATTTTCCAGTCAGCTATATGCACTTCATGATTTGTTTCCCAGTAAGCTCTAGGTACATTAACGATCTATTTCCTTTTCAAACTGATGTACAATGTTGATTTTTTTTCCCAGCCACCGTATGCACATTGATGATTCAGTCCCTGTCAACATAATGTACACTCATGATTTTTTTTTCCCCTAGTCAAATTTTGTGTACATCGATTACACTGAAAAATGTTTTATTTCAGTGAAGTGAACTTCCTCAGGAGGATTTTCCCAAAGTTAGCAAGGGAATACCAACAGCTTTCTTGAAAACATCTGGTTCTGGAAGTTCATGAACCGACGCGTGGACCCAGCTGCGGTTGTTTAGTGCTCCACCCTAAGGGCTGTGTAGGATTCGAACTCCCCACGCCTCCGTCCTGACGCCTGTGTGGCAAACCAGTGCTGGGCAGAGCGCCCTGGATCTCCATCACTTGGACCTACAAACCATGATGGATCCATACTCTTATTCGGCAGGTGAGTACACACGTGTGCGTGTTGACGTTTGTTGTCCATGTCTTGTTGTTTGCACTTTACCGTCGATGGTATTTTGCTATGAGGAAGCATGGGACTCACATCCCATGGCGATGGCGAGTGGGATGAGAAGGATCCGACTGCGTTAAAAAAAGCTTCCATAATAAAAGCATGAGATTGCAGAACCGTTGACATCCATTTTACTCAATGTGTTTCTTCTCAGACGCTCAGTTCTCATCCTATTTGCAATAGTTGCTTCCTTCTCAGTCCTTTCCTGGTTTATCCTCCCCACACAACACGTCGTGGCAGTTTGTTCCTAAGAATTCATCCCGCTACCTGTATCATTCATGTCCCTCTTGTACACATCTTTACATCCTGGTAGAGTTAGGCCTGAAATCTTCTACCGTTTTTTAGTTCAACATAAAGAATTTCCTTAGGGACTCTACCATCCTCCATTTTCTAGGTGTGACCCAGCCACCTGAGTCTTTATAGACTGGGCATTGAGAAAACGGCTCAGGGTGTACCATGTGTGTGTGTGTGTGTGTATGTGTGTGTGTTTGTGTGTGCGCGCGCACGTGTATTCGGGGTACGGAGACAATAAAGCGTTGTGGAAAGGGGGGGGGTGAGGTGATCTCCCTCGCGAATGGGTCAAGCCGTTGGTCTCGCGCTCTGAATATCGTGGGTTCGCTGCACGGACGGGTTGTTCAGTTCAGTTTAGTTCAGTTCGCGATTGACTTTTTACGGAAATTCATGGCGATCGCGGCTGGTGTGTGTGATGCTCTCAGCAAGGGGGCAGAAATTCTGCTGAGAGAGACTGAGCCTGAAAAGATGAAAGCCAGTGCAGTGAACTTTGCTCCCTTGACTTTAACTGATGGCATGGTATCTTGTGTCGTTGAGATCCACCGTGGTGTAGATAAATAAATAATTCCCTGTCTGTTTATTTATAGGAATGACGTATACACACCAGAACCTACCAATCAAATACATTTCTTAAACGTTTGTGTTTTTTAGACAAAGCATTAAGGTCTACTGTGTTCGTAAATTGTTGCTGTGATTGTTATTCGACATAAGCTTCATTAATGTACATTTCTGTAAACTATGGTGCCATTTCAATGGTTTGAAATGAATTCTGTCCGTATTCCATAGTTGTGGATTTCAAGCTGTACGATAGACATTGCCAATAAGACACCTTTTTTTGGGGGTGAATAGTTAACCGTGTTCTTAGTGCACTTATATCCATGCTGTCTGGAGGTGACAGGTTCAATTCCCGGCACGGTAGCTATAGCTTTCGATTTGTATGTTGTCGAGTGTGTTCTTCTATCTTTCTACTTCTTTCTATGAGTGCCGATCAATACACTTTCTGTTACTGTGGTGTAGAGACAAGTCGCTTGCCAGCGTATCCGAAGGTGTTTGGTTCAGGTCCAGCCTTAAATGGGTCCCGGGAAGTAAAAGAGACCGGCGTAATGTTGACCACAGCACACAGACAATGCTGATTAGTGTATAAAGTAAAGGTATAGCCCTATGTGCCCGATACCTCCGAAGGTGTAGACAATGGCAGTTTGCTTTGCTTCCTTGTGGCATTGTGTCAGGTGTGGGTGCGAGTGTGTGTATGTATGTGTGTGTATGTATGTGTGTGTATGTGTGTGTGGAGGGGGAAGAAGTAGCATGGTATCGTTCTAAATCCGTCATCTATGACCCTTAGATCCATTTTCAGTTTAAACTTACCATTATTTAAAAGTGTTTTCAGGGTCAACTTACCATTAAAAACACCCAGTATTTTCAGGGTAAACTTACCACTAAAAATACTCAGTATTTTCAGGGTAAACTTACCATTAAAAACACCCAGTATTTTCAGGGTAAACTTACCATTAACACACTTAGTAAGTTCAGGGTAAACTTACCATTAAAAACACCCAGTATTTTCAGTGTAAACTTACCATTAAAAATACCAAGTATTTTCAGGGTAAACTTACCATTAAAAACACCCAGTATTTTCAGGGTAAACTTACCATCAACACACCCAGCAAGTTCAGGGTAAACTCACCGCTTAAAACAAAAATACGGACACCTCCCCGAATCTCTTGCAAAGCGTCGGTCTCTGTTTCAAATTCCTATAACTTATCCAACCTTTTTTATGCTTAAGAAATCTGTCTTCCCTGGCTTCCCCGGGAATGTATCAACTTTCCGCTGAAAGCTCCTGCAGGGATTATATCCTAATCCCCGTCTATCCAAAGGGATTATTATCATTTACTGAAATGGCCTCTGGTTTCGTTTCCAATTTTCCGCAGGCCTGCACGTGTTTCTGGCTGTGTAACCGTTGCTGCCTCTTCTAGGCTTGGCTACTGGCTTCCAGGATGGCACATTTTCTTGCTCGTTTGCATGTGTGGTGGTGAGAGAGAGAGAGAAGGAGAGAGAGAGAGAGAGAGAGAGAGAGAGAGAGAGAGAGAGAGAGGAAGAACGAACACAGGAAGAAACAAACAAATTTTTTTTTCAAAAGGGTGTCAAATTAGGCATGCAGTACGCTCTTACTTTCAACCCTTTCTAACACTCATTTTTCATCTACACACGCACTCACAAACACACACACACACACATAGAAACAGAGAGAGAGAGAGAGAGAGAGAGAGAGGGGGGGAGGTTATTTTGTTATCACAATAAAGTGTGCGCATGCCCTTTCATGTGGATGATGGGACTCCCATTTTGAGGGAACAAATAATAGACCCAGGCCAACCCATCACCGCTCCCCCCCCCCCCCACCCTACCCCTCTAGAAGTTGTTATTTGCGTTGACCTCCCCTAACAAAGACGTCAGAAGCGATGAGTAACTGGTTTGCTGAAGTCGGATGTGTTGAGCCCACAAGTGCTAACATCGCAGCTCAGCTGTAAGCTACAACACTGTATGCCAACCGCCCTAATAAAGGCGAACGCAGAACAAGAAGAAGGAAAAGGGAGGCATTAACGAGCGTGCAGAGCAGGGCTATTTAACAAAGTTTACTCAGGGGCCAGTTTTAAATATGGGGATCGTCACGGGCCAGAGGCAATAGCCCCTTATTGGAAAATCATTAATATAACACAACTAGCAATGATCCGCAGGCCACTTGCTGGGCCTCCGTGGGCCAGATGTGGCCAGCGGGCCGCCAGTTGAAAACCCCTGGTATTGAGTATCCCATTCAGCCATCATCTATCCCAAAATGCATCTGCTGACTTCTCACGAACATCCTTTGGAAGATGTAATACAAATGTCAACTATTCTCTTGTCGTCCCCTCTTGGGATGCATTTTTGTTAAAGCCCCACTCTGGCTTTTGCAAGGGACCCTGAATATAGCCGGGCTATAGATATGGCCTTAACGGCTGAAGGGTTTATGGGACCTCTCCATGGGTGATCCTCATCCACATGGTGGCACTTTGTGTCATCGCTTGTGTGATATCCTAGAGGGGTACGATTACCTACCTACTATATAAATGTCTGGAGTAACGGTTCTCAACCTGCGGGTCGTTCGTCCCACAAATGGGTCGAACGACCCTTTCACAGGGGTCGCCAAAGACCGTTGGAAAACATATATTCATAAGGTTATGAAGTAGCAAGAAAGTAAGCGGATCGCCACTGACTGACTGACTTTCTACCACACCAGTTCATCACACAAGCGATAAACACCCGATGACACAAAGTGCCACCCTGTGGATGAGGATCGCCGTGGAGATGTCACAGAAACCGCGTTCAGACAATTGGCCATATTTATGGCCTGCCTATATTGCGGCCCCTGGCAAAAGCCAGGGTGGAGCTTCAAATAACGAAAAATTTCGTCCTAAAAAGGATGAAATATCTTAAGCAACTACTTTAACGGGTGGCCACAACACGAGGAACTGGTTTAAAGGGTCGCGGCATTAGGAAGGTTGAGAGCCACTGTTCTGGGGAAAAAGAGGGGGAAAATAACAACTTTTTGGGCGGAGAACATATCGATGACAACAATGTTGGATGATGGAATATGTCGTTCCCAAGGAACAGAACGGACGATAATATTATGACACATCGCATCATGAGAATATTTCTGGTCAATATGGAGGGTAGGCGTGTTTGCTGTTTCAGATGCTGCAAGTTGTCACTTCTGAATATAGTTGGTCGTTGCATTTTCCTCTATATATAGATAAATATAAAGATATATAATTTTGCCACCCAGCTACTGAGTTTAGTGCGTGGTGCGACACTGTGAGCTGCGGATTCCATTTGGAATGATTCTTGTTTACCCAACAGAGTTTGTATTGCGAAATGCAGATTAAGAGCATGGCGAGTAGTTTGTTCCGACGGATCTGTTGGTGCCTCATGTGATTAATCCCGAGTGCAGCTACCGATTGGTTGCAACTGCTGCTTCCCTAGATAGCGATCTGAATTTCTGGTGTCGGACTATTTTTATTGACAAATCTAACCGATGCCTTATGCATTTATTGCATACGTGTGCGACTGGATTAGCTGAGACTTCAGTCTGTGTCCATTTTTTAAACAAGGGACACATTTTATGTGTTTTTTTTTTTTTGGAATGTTATGTTTTGTGATGTTATGTTATCATAGTCGACGTATTTGCACATTGAGCTTCCCCAGTCACACTCAGTCCTCCCATGCAGCAGCCACTTCAAGGTACCTATACTGATTGTTCCCATGAGGAGTTGTTTATAGTATCTTCTGAATTTACCTCGAAGTCGACATAGACCTGCTTCACCAAGCTTAACTCCTCGGTCAAGCAGTCGTATTAGCGTCAGAGATTCGCCCTTATTTTCCCAATCTAGTCCCTACAGCGCTGATGTCCATGCTTTTTTCCTTTTGTATTGGTGCATTATTTGCCAGCTGGTCAGCTCTTTCATTGCCACTTACTCCTGCGTTCCCAGGTGGAGGTTAACTGCGACTTTCGAATGCTTTCTACCCATTCAGATCGTAGACTACTTGTAGAGATTGGCACAGGAATGGAACAACAAGGGGGTTTCCCATTTTGCTATGAAGTTGGCACCTCG